GGTAGGGTGTGAGCCCCGCACAGGGTCCTGATCCCGTAGCAGTACCCGTGCCTTCCTCAAAAATTTCACTAGTCAAGGCTGCTATTCCAGCATCTGCTCAAAATACGCGGCGGCCTCCTTGGAGTTCGGTCCTCGAGTGACGAACTGCTCTGCCTGGGTATCGTCCCCACACATCCCGGCTGGTCCCGGAGATACGCTGCCGCGCACAGGTCAAGCCCAGATCACCACGCGCATCCCCAACGAACCGAGGTTGGAACACAGACCTTAAACATCTTTACCAGCCTGAAGAAGAACGGTAGCACATGTTTTAGCGCAATACGACGCTTCGAAATATACCAAATGGGTAAATAATACAGAGGCTTGAGGGTAAGGTCGGTACATAAAAATATAACACAAAGAGGGGGCATTACACTGTGCTAACCTTTCTTTCGGACGGCGTTTTTATACTGAGCTATAAAACAAGAACCAGCCATGAGCAACAGTTCCAGCTTATTCTTTCAGAATTCGACCCTTCCACAACTGTACTCAACGTTCCCCTCCACCCAGCCTGGGTTGGGGATTTAAACGTGAAGCTTCATTTTGCACGCGGATCGGTGGCTTTTATTACTCTCGAAGGAATACACGTGTTGACGATACGTTAAACTTGTAAATGTAAATGTTCGGGCGATGATGTGCACGATAGGCTTCCAGTTCCTGCTCGAAGCTCTGTGGGGTAGGGTCGTTGAAGTTCGACCTCGCCATCTTGGCGAAGGCCTCCTGCTTCTTGTCCGTGGTGTGCGGTGTCCACGACACGAGGCGGGCGTGACTAATACCCACCTGGCTGAAAATGTTCGCCGTACGGACTGAGACCCACCGCCTGGTGGTGATGACGACAGCGCTCAAAGCACCCCCACCCATTCCCATCCCCATCACGCCAGAAGGATGCATTCTGTGCCGCTAACGGCTAAGGCACACCATTGATTCCGCTCTTTAGAGGACCCTACACCTGTTGGATGAATAAACAGATCTTCAAGTCAATGGAATAGGACACCCCACTTGTCTCAACCTACAAGGTAAATCGAATGCGGTGACAGACACACCGATAGTACGAACTAGGTTGTTAGAAGTAGAAGTCAAAGGGGGAAAAAGATTAGAGGTATGTGCATAAGTGAATGGAAAAGCCATTGAGAGTGAAAGGAAAACTACACATGTCAGTGCAACTATTCATGGTAAGATGGTTTACAATGTAATATTTGATGGTAGCGGTATGGAAGAGTAGTCCATTTTGTTATTACCTCATGATGCAAGTAATAAAAAAAATGCGTGAAACAATATTTTATGCAGAAATACTGCCCCCTTGTTTTAAGGGAAAGCATTGTAATCACATGAACAATGAAAAAAAAAGAAAAAGAGAGGAATTGCATCATGGGTTAAAGACATTCCTCCTACCTGTGAAATAAAAAAAAGTAGTGATTATGAAGAAGAGTGTAACAGCTTTGTAAGTACTTAGCCCAATGGTAACCAAGACGTAAAGGCTCAATGGGTGTAACGCATGTCGCACTTCCAATGACTCGCGCTCCTCACTGTCAGAGAGTGTCCGTAGGTGAGTCTAATGCTATGACGCGATGTTCTATGAAGGGGTGAAGCCGACATGCCTATCCTGGACACCGTTTCATGGATGACAGCTCATTGTTACGCGCAGTGTACACACCTAACGACCTGTCGCTCTGACAATCAGTAACTAGAGCCTAAATAATTGTAATTTAATGAAAAAAATATTGCATACGTGATGCAATAATAAATAAATAAATTTGTTCGAATGAAAAAAATGATCAGGAGTCACTCTACAGCGCACCTGTCTTAATTTTGCTGTTCGTCGTCCCTGTCTTGTGTGTGTTTCTTGCAGATCACCCTCTTCACGCACGTTGCTCCCTGCCATCATTCGGCAAGGACAATCAGAACAGCCAGGGCCGCCACAAGCGTGTAAGTGAAGTGGTACGCGATGTTAGTCGTACCGGATGCGGGGATGTGATGGGTCACGCTTCGGTAATAGTTTATGTTGCACACCTCCTCATATGGCGGACACTCGATCGCGCCAGAGTTAAACTCTGTACCGTACTTCGAGAGCACAAGAGTGCTTCCGGGTGGGCAATCCACGAAATCAGTCGCACCCTTCACACGCACCTGATACTTCGAGGTGCCCTTGTCACACTGCACGTCCGCACAGATAGAGCGCATATTTTTGTAATTTTTTATCTGAAGGGTAGTGTCTGGGACAGCTGAAAAGCATCGCGCAGATTCTGAAAACACAGAACCTGACAGAATTGTTGCATTTCCATTTAGGCACATAGTGTTAAAAAATGATAATATGAATGGGCAGTAATCCATCGAATCCTCAATACCAGCGATTTTTGGATCGGAGAAGTACTGGAAATATGTTGGCAAACTAATTTTTTTATTATCAAACAGCGTCCGATGCCCATCCGGTCTGATGCGCACATGAATTCACTCTTGTAAGTAGTATTAACAACGCAAAACATCTCCGGCACCTGTGGCACACCGTCAATAACGCACTTCTTATCAAACAGCACGCAACCGGCATTCTTACCCCATACCATGTTTTCAGCATTACTGTAGTTGCCTTTGTAGCAGCCCGTGTCCTCCATCGCCGCGATGGTGATGGCGGTGTAGAAGTTTGAACCGTTAATAGGACTCATCAATTCGTCCTTTGCGTTGCGCATCTTCCAGTGTGACCCCGCAGACAGACGACCACCCACATCCTCCAACTCCACGTACTGCATGGTGCTGCATCCGTAATGCGCCCTCGCGACTTCCACAACTTTGAGCGAAGATAGAACATAACTTGGTGGCTTATTGCGAACAGACACAGTGTTAATCATATTTTTTTCTTAAACATTTCAATGCCAAATCCCAACGTGTGCAATATCTCATGAGTCAGGGTACGTGTGGAAGAGAAAATATCCAGAGCGTTTCGAGGCCCAAAATTGGCAACACCCACCAGGGGGCGACCACTGGGGTCTAACTGGCAGTAGATTGCCCACGCAACAATACCAGGTACAGTTGGTCCCGCCGCAACGTACAGCACAAAGTCGGTATCCGGCACACCGGTGGTGTGGTGGGATTGGGGAATCGTAAAGTGCGGGCAGAGGGCTCCTGTAAGATGTGTAACACGGATGTTGCCGCCGATCGGCTGCACCAGCAGCCGATCCTTGTGCATCTGCACCGCGTTGGGGATTATATGCTTACGCAGTATCCGCTTCTTTTCATCGGTGAGAATGTTATCGGGATCGCATTTAATCATGGAGCCTTTGAAGTTAGGTTTCATCTCCCCAGGCTGTGTGCAGTAGCGGGAGCTGTCGTC